TATGTTAATAATTCATACATTTGCAGAATTAAATGTGAAGCATCCACTTCTCTAAAAGTGAATGCTTTTAGGTCACGCCATATAGGAAAATATACTATCTTTGCTTTACATAAACTGTCTTTGCTTATTGTTTGTTGTTTTACTTCCTATCAAAATACTGACATTTCTATGGTATTAGTATTTTCATTGTTTATAATAAGCAAATAATATAATAAGCAACTTTAAAAGTACCATGTCATAGACACTTATCCTGCAACATCAGTGGCATACACTGACAGCACCCTGAATGGTGCTGCTGAGTGACATATGCAAATGAATTCCTTCTGTTAATTTCTAAAGAGAAGAGGTGTCTTCTATCCCGAGCATTTCACTTTGTAGTAGGATCTGAATTTTTACTCAGTTATCCAAATTATCTGAAGTCTTTTCTCCCCTCTTGTTTTCTCTCTCCTCCCAGCCAAACTCAACTGCTTCATGTTAAAATGCTAGCAGTCTTTTTCTGCTGACTCCCCAGTTACATTCTCTACCTCATTGAGCTGCTTATGAGCTGTGTTCCTGACGCTGCAACTTCCTCTTCCTTTTACATTCTACATTTTACATTCTGCAAAAGCCATTTTGATCTGATTCTGTGCTCAAGAAATCATCCAGGATGTGCTTGGAAGCAATTCATACTCAGTTGCTCTATGATGTGCTGTAGTAGTACTCATGGATCATAGTTTTGTTGGAACAGACCAGGTCTATATGCATAGGTTGTTCCAAAAGCAATGTCTTCTACTTGTTTACATAGAATCAATATCAGATACAAAGAGTACACACAGTAATGATTTGATGGAGCCAATTATCAGCTACAAAACACCATTTTTCAACCTATATTAAATTTTAAGCTCACACCACTGTGCACCTACTCAGCTTCACGCATCCTGGGTCCACAGGAGCTCATGCAGGATATTTTAATGCTTGTGTCTATCTGTGCAGTAGGTGGACAGCTTGTTTTATATGTGTGAGATGGAAATTTCACTGAAAAGGAGAGGAGGACACGTATCCATATGTAGAAGTAGAGAGGAATTCATCCAAACTTACAGGGAAAAAAAAAAAAAAAAGTAAAAATACTGATTTTTGTTTAAAGCTTGAAATAGTCATTGATTTAAAATGTAAAATTATTTCAAAAAAAAAAAAAAAAAAAAGAAAACAGCAACTAAATGCTTTTCATATGCAAATGCTCTTCAGAGTTGATATCACATAGGTACTTATGAATACTCAGTCAAACGGGTCACTCAATCCCTGAATTTTCAAATGTTCAAGTTGTATTTTACATTACTGATTTTTAATTAAACTGAAAGCCATGCTTGTATCTGAAAGACAAAGATTTATGTTTGTAACTTTCTGAAAAGTTATGTTCATTACAGTACAGCAAATGTGGTGAGAAACAGTGACAAACCCTGGCTTCTCTGGAAAAATGCCATTGTTGATTAATCATAATATATTTCAGCCGTGTATGGATTTCTGAGTTACCCTGTAAACACACTGCTTTCATTCTTTGGAGATTAACAATGTCTCTTGTGTGCTCAGGTTCCCTCTGGCTTAGTACACTGTTTCTTTTGAAGGATTTATTTTCCTGGGTTGAACTTCAGGGACTTGGAGCACCTTATCACACTTTCATAAGCTTGCTTTCTGAGGGGGAACGACAAGGGGAAAAAAGCCTGTCACAGCTTGTGCCAGTCAAATCCAAGCTCTCAGGGGATTTGTTTTTCTTTTGGCGTCAGATCAGATGTTCAAATGAGGGGAGTTTTGGGGCTGTGAGCGCATGTCCACCAGACCCTTAACAAGGCTAATCCCACAGCAGCACATTGCAAGCAGCAGTGAGTGGGCACAAGGGCTCCACTCTGCTGCCATCCCTGAAAACAGGTTGAACGCCTTGCTCAGGGAGCAAACACAAAAGTCTTGTTAGCAATGACCAGCAGCAGCAAAATGTCTACAGCAGAGTTTGCTCTGGGATAGACTTAAACACCAAGCGTGATGACCAGGTAAAAAGGGGGGGGGCAAAAATGATCTCTGTGGGATTTTACACATATCTGACAGAGGTATTTTATTGAGAGATCCAAGTTACAAGTAAACTAAATCGGAATGCAAGTGTGGCATACACTTCAGGAATTCACTGTGGACTTCAAATTTTTTTATGAATTAATGTTGAAGGCATGCTTGTGAAAAAGCAGATACAGAAGATAAGCTTTTGATTTTACTGTTATTGCAAATACTTTTCTAAGCTTTTTACTGCTTTATTAATTCAAATTATGAACAAGAGTTTAATAAAGACTGTTTCGTAATTAACTTGTTAATTTCCTCAAATCATTCTAATTCCTCTATGAGATCCCTACTGCAAGTGACAAAATTTATTATACCTCCGAGCTTGTATTTCACTGCAAATGTTCTCCATGATAGAACAGTAACTGACATGGAGTAGTAAAACTGGATGCTTTTAGTTTGAAATAACTTTGAAATGAGAAAATCATGTGTTGGTGTGCCTTAACTGTCAGGTAGATTCTTTGAAATCTAAAACCCAAGAAGTCTTTTTCCCTTGATATGAAAAAAAGGATTTTTCTAAATCAGGCTATTATTTTTTAATTTTACATTTGAAGAAATGTGATGAAGATTCCAATTATTACATTAGGCAGATATGGGTTTCTTTTCTGCATAGAGTATGAAAGAGTGCAACTCCAATGTTACCTTTCTGTAAATACTTTTGATGTTTAAATAAATTGAGTTAGTGGTCATCTTTTAAAATGATGCATTAGGTCTGTGTAGCAAGTAAATTCACCAAGATAAATGGCAGAGAAAGGTATTAATTAATACATTTAATGAGGGACATTTCCAGGGAGTCTTTGCAACATGGATGAGAATCATGGTAGAAGTTCTGCTTTTGGATAAAAGCTGCTCGTTCTTTCTAGAGAAGATGGAGGGTGTCATAAGCATGTAGTTACTGCTAAAACAAACATGCAATGAGCTAAGTTGGCTTAGTCAATAAGCATCCTTTTCTCATCAAGTTACTGTATAGATGTAACAAAGGAGATTCATAAGCACGCAGTTTCTTACCATTGCCCTCCTAAGGCAATATAGAACACTTGTGTACTCTAGAAAGTGAGAGTAGCGTGAAATTTCAAGAATAGGTAGGTAGGTAGGTGGAAAGAATGTAATTTCAGTTATTAGCATTATAATGCTTGAATAATAATTGTAACTTCCTTTTTTTCTATACAACACACAGTACGATACAGTAAAATAAGAAAAACATTAGTTTTTCCACAAGGCTTCAAATGCTCTCCAGTAAGAGGTTAAGTTCTTGAAGTCCATGCTGAATATCTTAACAAATCTAGAAAATTAGTTTTTAAGAAGCATTTCCTTGCCTGGAGACTATCAAATTGAAAAAATGTTCAATAGAGTGTTGTGATTATTAGTGCTATAGGCTTGCTTGCCAGTATTTTGAAGGTACAATAATTTTGAAATTCAAGGTAATCTTCCCTGTGTGTACTATGACTTTTTAGATTTTTCAGAATTTTCATTTAATTGTCCTTTGCTTAAACATGATACAAATCTTGTCCTACATTCTGTAACAGGTTAAATTTCTGTTTGCTACAGTAAGGAAGAACAGTCAAATATGGCTCTATTTAATATTTTTAATAGGCATTTTTTATGCTAAGGTGCCTGCCTTTCTTGCAAAACATGAAGTCGAGCAGATTTTTCAAATAAAGATGAGAGTTGAGAGATAAAATATTGTTACATAACATGAGTTACCAATTTTTTATGTACCATGAGTGAGGTATAAGGAATGTAGCTATGAACTGTTAGCATGGTACCTTATACTACTGGTGTTAATTGACTCCAAGAAATTTCCACAGCTCACAGTGATTTCCAAAAAATCCCAGAAAAACATGCTACTGCCTTTAAAAATGATAGTAGGCTATAGATTTATCTAACAAAAAGATGTTGCCCAGTAGGTGTGGAATTTTATAAAGGCTGTTTCATATTGTATTTTTTCACAAAAGCAAGGTGCTCAGATTTCATTTAAATGATCTCATTTTACTTTACTTAATTCCCAAATGGCTTCTTCATATTGCCTCTAGTTCTGTTTATGTTGTATAATTAAATAGGTAATTTTATTATTTAAATATATTTTATAAAATCTCCTTTTTTGTAATAAATTTTTTAAGGAACATTCCAATGTATCTGCTTATTAAATGAAATAATTTAACAATCGAGACTGATCTGAGAGAAATTACTTAATTTCCTGAAAGTATCTGGGCAAGGAATTGGAATGGAATTAACTGACATAGCTGCATTTGACTTTGTTTCATAATTTACACAAACTGGTCATCTAACTCTTAATGTATTCTCTTACTTTATCAGAGCTTTTTGTACTGTGTTTTAAAAATGAATCTCTTTTGTTGTTTTTTGGGTTTTGATTGTTTGTTTTTTTTTTCTGTTGGAATGTCCGTGTATTAAACTATACTTTCTAGCTCTATGTTAAACAGCCACACTGGCGCCGATACTAAAAATCACAACTGAATAATGGTGCTATCAATTTTACTTTGAGATTTTTTTCTATTTTCTGAGATTCTTTTTTTATTTGAGTTATGTCACTGTATTTAAAAAGTATTTTTGACAAGCAGCTGTGATTGTCTCTCCACTGCAAAAAGATAATAATAATTTACAGTTTGATGGAATTCTTCTCCAGTGATTGCCCTTATAGGAATGTAATTAACAGCATAATAGTCCACTGGCTTGAGAGATGAAAAAAATGCAGGACCTTCTCTTGAGTGCTATAGAGGAGGAAACCACAAGTTTAATAGAAAGTGCTTACTCTGTGCAACTTGTGTACTGTGCGTTTGTGTACTTGTGTACATAAACGCAAAGTCAGCTACTTTTTCTTTTATGTTTTAAATTTTCTCTTCAAAGGTACTGTAATCTGTGTTTAGCAAGCAGAACCTAATGCATTTTCTCTCTCTTTTTAGGCACAGAAATCATGGATAGAAAGAGCTTTTTACAAGAGGGAATGTGTTCATATCATACCCAGCACCAAAGACCCCCATAGGTAATTGCATGCTACTTGCATGAAAGTCAAGTCAGTTACAAGGAACTGACGCATCTGTTTGTATTTAGATAAAAATACTTTGTAATGAGATATTTAATAATTGGTTGAATTACAGATGGAGAGATGGATTTGTATGAGCACTATTTTTTTTACATTTCAAAACATACTTCATCAAAAAGAGACATGAAAGATCACCCTTGTCTGTGTTTAATTTAGAATAATAGAATCACAAAGGTTGGAAAAGACCTCTAAGATCATTCAGTTGGTGGATATCACCAATATTTCCCACTAAACCATGTCCTTCAACACGTCTAAATGTCCCTTGAACATCTCCAGGGTCGATGACTACACCACCTCCCTGGGCAGCCCTTTCCAGCACCTGACCACTCTCCCAGAGAAGTATTTCCTAACATCCGACTTGATTCTCTCCTGTGCAACTTGAGGCCATTCCCTCCAGGAATTTCCTCATCTTCACAGGGATCCTTCTGGTTCTTCAAATATTTGGAACAAAATATTGCCAAAAATATATATACAGAAAATTGTGGTGAACTACTACTAATTTTGATAATCTGTTAGTGCATGCAAAAGACTATTGTCAACCTAATGTCCTCTGAGGACATAGAAAATGTTATTGAAATAAGTGATAATGCAAACAGAATATAGAAAGAAATGTTGATATCTGTACTATATTCGTTTGGGATAGCAAAAATGAGATCTGCAGAGTTGAAAAGATTTTTAAGGGGAAGATGTATAGGCTGTTTATTATGTCTTTTTTGTATACATCAATGTGATATTAGATTTCTGCTTGTTTAATATCATAGGTGTTGCTGTGGGCGTCTAATAGGTCAACATGTTGGACTCACTCCAAGTATCTCCGTTATCCAGAATGAGAAAAATGAGAGCAGGCTTACTCGCAATGACATCCAGTCAGAGAAGTGGTCCATCAGCAAGCACACGCAGCTCAGCCCAACGGATGCTTTTGGAACCATTGAGTTCCAAGGAGGAGGCCACTCCAATAAAGCCATGGTAATCATGCTTTTCTCTTAGATAAATAACTAATGTTGCTAGCTGGATTAAAAAAAAAAAAAGAAGAAGAAGAAAAAAAAAAAGAAAAACATTCCCAAATATTAAACAAATAATTCACTTTGAATTATTATTTAGTGTTAGAACACCGGATACATTACTATGTATTGTGTTCCAAACAACTGGTGAACAGAAGGAACTGTAAAAACTAGAGGGTAGCATAGAACGGGCTACTTTTGTAATAACTAAAGACATACTAACATGCAGATATCTTCATCTTCTTTCAGTGATCCCCTATCTATCTTTTTCTGAGTGCTTTAGAATTCAGCTGTGGCTTCCTATTGCTGGGTGTGTCTGCAAGGCTGACAAATTTGAGATAGATTTCCAAAGAGTTCTTCCTCACGTATGTTGAAGGATAGACTATTTGAATTTACTTGCTTGTCTTTCAGCAAAATAAGAGGCCTACCAGTGTCTAAGCAAAGAACTGAGAAATACTTTCTCTGCTACAGGTTTTCTAGAACAAGGAAGCCTGTATTATGACTCATTCCTAATACAATGTTATGAAGTAATACAAAGTTATGAAGTTAATCTGAATGCATTTTTCCATTAAGTGATACAAGTTTGCAGTGCCCACACTAACCTATGCATGTATTTCTACATAGCATTCATGAAAAGATGTATCTAGCTAGAGCTAAACTGCAGTTCCTGTGACTTTGGGAATCAAAAGCAAGCCTGTATCTAGCATACTGTGTCTAAGACAGAGCTCTGGGCAGCTGTAAGGAGAGCCAAAACCCACTGGTGCTCTCCAGAATAACCTGCCCAGCAACCTAGTGCTATCTTGCTATCTTCTTTGTGTGAGTAGTTCCTTGCAGGATTCTCAGGACTGTTATAGTATTAGAAAGATTAGATAGATGGCAGGCTCAATACTGCACTACAAAGAGCCTGGTATTTTGCTCAGATGTGTACATGGTGGATAGACATGGAAATATTACTTGGGTGATTAGTTCTGTTTAACCAGATGGATGGATTCTGTTATAGGAAACCAGAAAACACTGTTGACCCAAGAAACAAATAGCAAATTAGGTAATTTCTTTGCAAGTATCATAGACACCTTATGTTCACTTGGTAAATAATCACCTAAAAGTCTGCAAGGCCGTTGCTAGAAAGATAATATGATTGAGCAAATAACACTTAGACTGAAAAAAATTGACACCCTCCTTGGCCCCAATATAAAACAAACTATGTTGTTGGAATCTTCACAAAGACCAGGAATAAAACAGAATGCTTTTCAACAAAACTGAAATAGTTTCAGAGAAGAAGTTACCATCATGCTATTATCTGTATATGATTACATTACTTTAAGCTCTTTATGAGAGGGAGTAAACAGTAGAACTTTCTGAGTTATATACATGAAGAGCTCTTTAAAGCAACAAACTGCCCAAGGCATTTGGAGCAGCTTTGTACTAATTAGGAGTTTAGGGAAGGTGTTGATATTAATTGTGCTACAAGATCTCTGGTCTTCTCTGTTGGGATTCTGATACCATAAGAGAACAGGAGATGCCTCAAGGTATATGCCACGTGCTCAAACAAATATATCTGAAATAAAACGAAGTCAAAGTGAACAACGGAAAAACCTTGAGTGCAAACAAAAGTAAGACCATAAAGTATTTGTAAAAGGGAAGAAAAGCAGGTTAAAAAATCTCAGAGATATAAATAACTAAAAATTCAAGGAAAAGTATAGATGAAACATTTATTCCTTAAAAAATTCTGGATTTATCTTAATAGTTCTAGAATCAGAATGATGGCTGTATCTATGATCCTACACCTAAAGCGTAGGAACAGAATTCTTTGTAAATTAAATATCTCTTCAAAAGCTCCGGAAATTCTGTCATTCTGCTTGTAGGAAAAGTGCTTCAAATTTAGCAATTCACTAAAAACCTCTGAAAGTCCCATTTGGCTAGTATCAGATGTCTAAAGCACAAATGAGGAGTTAATAATGAATAATAATGACAATTAATTGGTTAATAATATTAATATTAATTAAAATCAAACTTTGTTATATTATAGTGTGTTTATCACTAAAAATAGTGTGAAGATGTCCTTATAATCATAATTTCAGTACCACACATAATTATAGGGTAGATTTTAGTCAAGGAGCTAGCTAACTAGCTGTTGCAGTTTTATTAATAGAAAAAAAAATGAAACTTCTGTCTCTGAATTTGCTTTACACAAGATCTTTCCCATAATAAGCAACAAACTTACCAAATAAATGCTTTTTCTGTCCACATTTCAGAACCCAAAAGCAGCAAACCTGGAACATAAATCAAGTGGAGGAGGGAGGGAGGGAAGGATTGGACATAACACAACATGAAAAATGAATCTTTGTTCTTATCTAAAAATAGACTACTTAGTTATTTTCTAATTACTGGATATAAAATATCACTATAGCATAAAAGCTGATTTTTTCCTAATAGTCACATTAAGAAGTAGGTTAATTATATGCCTATTGCCTAAAAGAATAAACTTATAAATGAGCAAGATTTAGCAAGATAACCAAGATCAAGCAGAGCTTCGAGGAAGAACTTTATTTATTTATTATCCTGAAATTAATGCCTATATCTGAAATTTTTAAGCGTGGTAAACACAGAACAGAAGAGCACCATCTTGTTCTGCGTGAAGAGCAAATCTAGTAGCTTTTCCTGAATGAAGGCTACAAGAAATGAGATGGTATTTTGTAACAGAACCAACTGTAACCTCAGATTTGCAATTGGGAACTAGTACCCATAGTTAATTCATGCAACAGATCAGTAGATGTAAGACCGGAAGATAATTATTTCCTCCACTGAAAATAATAGAATTGGATTTTATTAATACATATATGAATTTGATGGAAAATATACATTTTTTGCATGTAAAATATAGTACATTGCATGCATAATTTCAAGCTAAAAGAGCAGTGCAAACAGTTGACACCAGACTACTACTAATAATGTCTCTAGTTGGGAAAAAAAGAGCAATTTTAACAGCACATGTAAATTGGAATGAAACAGTGAAGAGAATTTCAGATTGCTGTTGCCAGTAGGATTGGCTATGCCATTGATTTTGATTCTGAAAACACATAAAACAAAAATTCTCAAACAGAATGAATTCTGCTAATACAGTTGAGTTGTTAATCTTCAGAGAGACTACACTAAGATATTTGAATCAATAAATAGGTGAGAACACAACAGATTATAAACACATAGCAGAGGTTTCATAATATTTGTTAATGAGATCAATTACTGAAGAAGCCTTTCATTCAGACTTCCTGTAAATACAGATGATCCTTTAAAAATATTAAGGGTTTAAAGGGTATTTTATCAATCATCTGTTGCTTTCTTTACAAGCGGCTCATGCCATTAACTTTTAAGAAACACATTTAATGATTTTGCTGTTCATTGTTCTACAGCCAATGTACAGGTGAGAACAGAGAAAGATGTTGGAATACACAAAACTTTTCAATAGCCTTTGCAATAAATCTGTCAATTTAAGAGAAAGGAGAGAAAAGTGATTAATAAAATCGAATCCTCTTGTATCACTTGGCATTTAGTAATTTAAGAAATAGCACACGTGATTTCCTGTAACTATATATTAGCAATTTATTACCCTGACTCTGAGTGTAATTATTAAAGTGACAGAATGCATTCCAATTATGGGCAATAATCGGAATAATTTCAAAACAGAGACATTCTGCTCATTAGTTCACTAGCTTAGGCTATTTTGCTGTGATGCATTTTGCATTCATCCTATGACTAAACTTACCTAGTTCTTAAAATTTAGCATCTGCCCTTTCATAGAGGGGAAAAAAAAACACCTTTACATATTATTCTTATAACTTTAAAATTCCTTTTATCATGGTTTTTCAAGGTTACCTAGAAGATGGTTGTTTGAAGAACTTTAGTGAGTTAAATTCTTTCATCGTACTTTTTAATATTTTTCTCCTAATCAAATCCATTCCAATAATATCTTGGCTTAATGTTTCTTATGGATCATGAGATCATTAAAGTACATAAATAGAATTCTGAAGCATATATACTGTTTCTCTCATAGACTTGCTGACATATGGGTTTTTCACACATATACTTTAATAACGTTTAGAAATCAACAACATAAATGTGTATTTTTGCTTTTCAAATGTATTGAGTCTTGTCAAGGCTGTGTAAAAAGCCATGAGTGTTGTGAAAATGTAGAGATAATAATTTAAATCGTATAACTCAGAAAAAAAGTATCAAGCCTTTTTTTTTGTTATTGAATTTATATTCGAAGGGCATTTAAAAGAATTCAAAATATGGTGTCATATATGAAGAAAAATGGAGAATAACAGAAAGATAACTGTTCAAAAGCCATGTAAATCAATGATGCTCCTTCCACTGGCTGTTTAGTGAAACTTAGAGAAGCCTTCACAGAATCACAGAGTCACAGAATGTTCATTCAGATGTTAAGGAGAAAATTAACTTACAAGGAACCAATTTGGTTTTGCTCTAAGTTACAGTTTTGCTATTGAATTTAGTGAGAAAAGGGTCAGACTTATTTTCTGTGAAAGTTACACTTCGAGGGATCAATCTTTAGCTTGTAGAACTATCTGCAGTGCTGGAATCTTATCTGAGACTGTGGAAATATCCACCCAATCTTTGCTTGCATCAAAGAGAACCAGAAGAGCAGTGTTGGAAGATCACAGAATGTTACTGAAGATATTTTCATTGATGAAATAAAATAAAATCAAGCTTTATTCTGAATCTTTCTCCTTCCCATGACTCTCACCAGCTATTATGCACCATGTACTTTCATAAGATGGCTGTTCTTGAGTAACAGTCATATTTTTACCACTCAGTAACCTTGACTTTTGCCCTAAGGCATTGGAGTCCAACTTGCAAACATTTGGCTGTTTGATGGGCAGTATGCATGGTTATTTTTCAGGATGCAATTTGATAAAAAAAAAAAAGGAAACAAGTGTTGGCATCAAATTGTGCTCTTACTGACAGCCTCAATGGTAGTTGTGGTATTGAGTGGGCAAGACAAACATGGTGATCTTCCATTTTATGGTCATATGTTGAAATCAAGTCTGTCAGGGTATAAAAAGACACTAAAAAATAGAAAAAAAAAAACAGTTACTGGATGGATTATGTAATATATAATTGATGTCACTGGTACCTTCATTTTAGCAGCAGACAGAATGATGCTGTGGCCTGTGCTTTCCAAAAGTATCTTTTGGTCATTTCTGATATGAATTCAGTTTGTCTAATTATCTGCTTGTAGCTCACAGTCCAACTTTCCCACAAACACACTGAGGTGGCAATGATACCAAAACATAATCTCCATACTTAGAGCGGGATAGTGTTTTTGTACACGTTCAAAGGATGGTGTTTCTGTGTCAGTGCCTGCAGTTTAATGAGTAGTAGCACTTTGCAGGATTGGTTGTCCCTATGGTCAGGGCAAATGGAATTAGGATTAAGTCACTTAACACCTCTCCAATGTGTTAAAATTTTTGCAGCCCCTGAATTCTAATCAAAACCACTACTCTCACCATCTGATCTGGTCAGTAAGATTTTCTCATGAAGTTGAATGGTAGGTGCTGCTGATACAATTAACGTATAGAAGCTCAGGAGTACCATACACTATGCCAAACATCATTATTGTATGGTGTTTGTCTTGCAGTTGTTAAGAATGTGCGTGACAATTATAGAGAACATTACTGATGTACTGGGACAAATATGGATTCACAAATTGATGCTCATCTTTCAGTTTGGCTGTGTCCCACCTGCTTTCCTCAGGTGATTTGCACAGATAGGTTTCTGCTTCCAGAAATGTTGGAAACGGCTATTCGTTCTTTCTTGCAAAGAAACCTTGGATATAATCAATTTCTTCTGGAAAGAAAAGTTGAGTCCATATTTCTTACTCAACTGGAGAGATGTCCATCTTACTAACATGTGCTTACTAAAGCAGAACAATCTTATGGCTATAAATACAATTAGACATGATAAAAAGGGACAAAGGGATTACATTATATATGTGGATATTATGTTATTTGTCATGCCACAATGAGTAATGTAGATCTGGATGTTCCTACAGCTGAAAACAAGCTGTGTTATGTACCTGATGTCTGTTCTGACAAGCTATCAGGGGAAAGAATTCTGAAATAACTTTATAGGTATTGGTTCAAACAGACATTTGATAGGTTACTGGCTTTTGATAACCTACTTTATTTGAAAAAGCTGGCCCTTCCAAATCTTGTAGGCTATGGAAAGTTTTTATATCATTTTTTATAAGCCTTTGGTGCTGTATAAAAAAAAAAAATCAAAAAAGCATCTGCAGTTGTACAAGTTTTGTGAAACTATTCATATATCAGAAATGGAAACAGTGAGGAAAAGAACCCAAGAGAGAAGGGCTTACCAGGGGGAGAGAAGTCTGTGTGCATTGTAGTGGGACTGTAGAGAATTTGAATGCACGCGGATAAAGATGGACATATTCTCCCTTGGGACAAAATACTGCAGATGCAACACAGAGGAGCCAAGATCTGGAAATGTCTAACTGTGTTTCAGAATAATTTTAAGGGGCCTATGCTTTGTCAGGCAAATTCCTGAATATGTGCAAATTAGTCTGTAAGTTGTAAAACAGCATTTGTTCATTTGAAAAGTGCATCTTTCATAATCTCAGTTTAAACTTGTATGTAATTGAATAACCAAACTTGTTTCTGTTGCTTCCTGTTTTGAGTGTTTGATTTTGTTAATTTCAAAATAAGATACTAGCAAATTCAGTTGTGACTGGGTTGTTTTTGTCAGACTACTTAAACGTTTCCATTTTCTGCATTGTTAATTTCAAAACACGTACCTATGAAACATCGCTAAGCATATAGATACAATTCATAATTTCCTAAAAGGATAACCATCCAGCTTGTGAATTGAAAGTGTTCCTAGTAGCCTAGTTTTTTACAAAAATCTGCAAAAATTATTAACTTTGCCATTAGTTAATACCTTTATCATGAAGTTTGCCTTTTTTTTCTGTGTTCTAATGGGCATAGGTCATATGCATTAGGCATCACTAAGTATAACCAATCTTTTTTTTTTTTTCTTTACTACTGCCCTTATTTCTGCAGTATGTACGTGTGTCTTTTGACACAAAACCTGACCTTCTTCTGCACCTGATGACCAAAGAGTGGCAGCTTGAGCTCCCAAAACTTCTCATCTCTGTGCATGGGGGCCTTCAGAATTTTGAACTTCAACCAAAGCTCAAGCAAGTCTTTGGGAAAGGCCTCATTAAGGCTGCTATGACAACTGGAGCGTGGATATTCACTGGAGGAGTAAACACAGGTAACAGCAACCTTGAAATGAAATCACAGTGGCATCTATGAGATTTCATCAGTCTGACAGAAGAAAAAAATAGGGCTGATCGGATTAGGTAAACATGGCATGTTTTATTTTATTAGTGCTGACGGTACTGTGTGTAAACATGAAAATGCCAAGTTGATATCAGTATGGCAGCTACCAAGGAATACAAGGTTTAGTTAAGCAGGAAAAACACACTGGAGAGATAAAAATAAAGCCTCTTGTAAGGCAATTATATTAGTCCTGAAGACTTGACAAGATCAACAATCACCTACAGAGACAGAATACTAACCAGAACCTCAAGAAGTCAAACTTATATTGCATAAAACAAAAAACATTTTTGTCCAGAAAAGATATTTCACTTTCTTTTTTAAGATGATCTGAAATGCTAAAGGAAAAAAAAAAATGTTGATGTGATAGAAAAATTTACTGTGAGTAAGTATCACTTTTTCCTTTCCTGCAGACCTATATTTTCCTATTATCCCTGTAGCAAGGGAGATAATATCGTCATTTGTATTCAAAGTTGAATACATCTGTAACATACCACATGGGCCTTCTAAGAACCCAAGACAGCAGCTGGCTCAACTCTTCTGTGAGACAGCACATCAGTTTGGGGAATAATCTGCTAAACCTCGTTCCCTAGATAAATAAATGTTGGGAATTAGCTTCCCAGCTATCCTCCCTGCGAGGAGACAGAGTAGAGGAGAGAGTCAGGAGGAAAACAAAGATTTCTGCTAAAGATAAGTGCAAAAAGTTTTGAGCCAGGACTGACGTACTTATCAATTCTTGCCATTCTTATTAGCTGCAGTAACACTGTAATTTATTACTTCAGCAATCCCACAGAGTGTATCCTCTTACTATCTATGGAATATATTGTAATCACTCTATCATGCATTAGTCTTAATGCTTTGGGGATCAACTCCTATGTATTTGAATATGCATGCAAAAAAAGAGTCTTTGGCTATTTGGCTTACAGGGCATATAAAATTTAAAACAATAGTAGGTTTTATCACATAAGCAATACAAATAGAAAATAAGAGGTGTAATTTTTGGTCTGTTTCTTATACTCTGGGTTATAGTTTAAATTATAGCTGATTCTTTCACAAGGAGAGAGTGGTTGTTTCTTTTTCCTTTTAAACCACAGGAAGGAAACACACTTCAGTGTTTTGTCTCTTTATTTTTTACATGGTTCATTTAAAGTGCAGATAAGCTCGACTAGAATTTTACCTACTGTGTGACTGTTACATTTATAATCCAGTTATTTTCAAATTCATGGAATCAGAAAAAGAAGCAAACGGAGACACTGAGTAAGAGATAACAACCACAGCAAATCATAAGGTCTGCCGCAGTGCGGCTGGATGCAACAGATAAATAAATGGATGGACAGATAGATAAATAAATAAATTATTGATACGTGGGTCAAAAACTGATTTTGTGAAAATGAAGGAAGAATGGATTATGTCCTCTGCACTAGGATACATCTGGAATACTGACAAAGTGCATCAAAAGCATACAAACAGGAGTATCAGAAAGCACAGGAAAGAGAAACAGGGAGCAGTCATTCTCTCTATACTAATTTCTGTATTTTTGCTGATCCTCAAGTGATTGTGGATTTTTGCAAAAAATGTCTGAACAGATCACCACACAGCAGAGAAAGAATTTTTTCAAATTTCTATCCTTTATTCTGGCACAAAGTGTCTTAGTCTTTTCTTTTTTCATTGTTGTGTTTGTTTCTGTGTTTGGGAAGGATACACATATCAATGTGTCTGTTTGCATGCATGTGCATTCGTGAACACAAGTGCAGATAAGCAAGTTACAGTCAGCTCTCATTTTTTCTCTTTTTATTTCTAGGCCTGCATAAATATTTTTCCTGCTACCTCATTTAATAATTTTGTAGCTTAGATAAAACAAACATATAATATTTCTATAATAGTAATCAGTGAAAAAATATTCATATCTTGACTGATGAGCATTAAGTTGTCTTCATCCATTGCATAGGAGATTCCTAAAAATAGGATGCTTACCATATCATAACATATAAATCCATACCAAAATGAACAGAAGTGTCATTATTTTTATATCTCTGTTTTATGCTTTTTCCCCCCAGGAGTCATTCGACATGTTGGAGATGCACTGAAAGATCATGCCTCAAAATCCCGAGGGAAGATCTGCACCATTGGTATAGCTCCCTGGGGGATCGTGGAAAATCAAGAGGATCTGATTGGCAAAGATGTAAGTCTTGTGTGGACATAGATAACCTCTAATATATATAAATTTTGCAGTTATTTTCCTTTTCTCTTCATCCTGAACTTCTTATAGAATTAATGCCTCTAACAACAGAAAATCAGTACGCACCCAGAGCTTCCACTATGGGTGATAACAATTTTGACATAGCAACAACAAAAAAAAACAAGAGGTCAAGAAATAGAAATTTGCAGTACTTTCTAGAACATATACTTTATTTTTAAATAAATCACGAAGAAAATGTACTAAAGTTTCATCTTTTAATCGTTATGCACTGGAAAGCTTGAAGTCTGATTCATTTTGCAACAATATTATGATGTATTGGTTATATTTATACTTACTGACAGTCTCCCATGCAACATATTCCATCTTATTACTTTTTATTACCTCAACTGAGAAAAATCTTATAAATATTGGCCATGAGATCAAACCTCAATGAATCATAACAGTTACCTTCTAACAGGCCATATTTCTGTCACTCAGAAAAATTAACTATCATCACTTGAAATAGATGAGTGGCTTCTGATAAATCAAAAATTCTTAGTCTTATCATCACAGAGAAAGGAATAACAGTTTAAAAAAAAAGAAGTGAAACAAACATTTTTAGGTAAAGTTTTCTATGAGTGCAGCCATGACTGTATCATTAGAGCTACACTTAGAGAGTTATTACCAGCTACAAAAGCAGTACTAAAATACATCTTTGGTAGACAAAATAGAAATTTTTCCTTTGAGCTCTGTGACCCCTGCTATTTCCATAAAAAGTTTGATTGGTGGAATAATGCAACACTGAGGCATCTTGGGTGTTACTGCTTTCTATTGGACATGTAAGCTTTATGCTTACTAATATTGCATTTCATCTTCCATTTGATAATCTTGTCAGGCTACATTATAAAAGCTTTCTTCAGCTCTTCATAGTCCACTGAATTGTCTGCAAGCTTTTTGTATTCATTGACCTCAAACCTCTACATGACTCATTTTGAGGTAGGCCACTTGTTACTAAATCTTTTTAGTAATTAGTTGTGGCAAAAAATAACCTTTCTTTCTTAGCACTTTCCATCCTTTTCTCTATAATTTCTTGTTACTAAACCCTCAAAGAATTTTCAGTGTATGCAGTTTCTTTTGAAACACTTGGTGAGCAAGTGTTTTGAAAATCAAAGAGCACTGGCTCATTAGAGGTGAATGCTGTGAAATGAACCAAGAAGGGGGAATATAAATAGTACCACAAGAATGTAAAATGAACTATCATTAAGAAAAACACACAAGGCACAAAAGATTGCATGGCAGAAAAAAAACGTCAGCCAATAGTGAAAGGCCTGTTGAACTCCAGCATCAACATGGCTTTATGCCTATATGCACTATGTCTGGTTAAATTATGATCAAAATTGGGGTGTTGTCAAAGCATACCCTCACTGCTTGGAACAGCATTGGATACAGAAAGTAATCATGGAATATTAGTGGAGAATAGGAGGAGTTTATTTCCGCCAGTGCACATGCCCCAGTACACGCTGCCTCTCCATGCTTTGTGGCTCACCAGGTTTGATCCCTTTCTGCTAATTCTCTGACACTATTCTGGCCTGTGTCACGACTGAAATCATAGCTGAGAAGTTTTACATTTACCAGCCATATCAGTCAGCTCCTGGGTAGCCCAAGGGTCTCTTCAGACTCATGAAGATAAGTGGGCAATTAAGCAAATATTACTGATGTTTGTTATTTTGTTTGTTATTTTTGACAGCTAGCAGTCCCTGAGGAGACCAATCTTACTCTGATATGGTAAAAGCAATACAGTACAAAACAGTGCCCAGCTTAACACACTTAAATTCTAATTTAAAAACAAAGCACTCGAAAGAAAGTTAGACTGCTGATTTATTTCCAATTTTCTAATACAAAAGCTGAGAAAGTAATGTTGCTTGCTTAATCTGGTGGAAAACTTGTGTTACAGCCATTCTTCCCTTTAAACATGGAGCCATTTTTCCATCTAAAGAAATGCAGTCTGTGAGTCTCTGTAGTGTGCATGTCATTGAGTCTTCCTTTGCAGGGTCTGTTCAGCCCTCACTTGAGCTTAATTGCTCATCACCACAGTAGGAACAGTGTCTGGATTAGGAGTGCTTTGATTTCATTACTTGCTCTTTGCTCTGTGAAGTCAACCAAGTCTCATTTTTTCATCCAGAGGAGCTATTATTTCAGCTTCAAGTGTATATATGCTTTTACTCTTTGACTTAGTTAAGAACTTTCCCAGTAATATGATATGTCCCTGATCTTTAGCAGTGCTTTAGTATATGACCTTAAGTAGAATGCCTTGGTGTAGTGATTCAAGGCTTGAAAACAAAAAGCCAAAATCCTTTTTCTTATTGATTTCATCAAAAGGTAAAATTGATCTCCTGTGCTGCCATGCCAAATCATTCCAAAACCCATTACCCACTTTTCCATGCCTGCTATAAAAATCTCTCCTTCTATAGATTCAGCAGGTCAACATAAGAGGAAATTCATAATTTTTCTACTTTTTTTTGTGCATTTCATTTGTGAGTTATTGTGTTTCTCTTCCCATATTTCTCCTTTGATATTTGAATTGCACTCAGCAGTGAGTGCATGGCACAAAATGAAACTCACCAGAGATTCTGGAGAAGTTAGATACTTATAATTTTTATCAAAGGCTCTATCCAGTAAAGAGAAAGTATCTGTGGTCAGCTGAAATCTGTGCAGCAGAGCACACAATGCAAAATACAAGCTTTCTCTTTAAACCTGTACCATAAGTAAATAACATAAGTGAACAACTGCATGTAAGCAAAAATGTATTAACAGAAAGAAAAATATTTTCACACAGCAGATTACTACATATATATACATAACACCTACCAAATATTACCATATATTGTATAGCATATTTATGTACAACCATTTTCATGTTCCAGAATAAATTATACTTTTTATTCTTTGGAATTCAGATGCTTACAATGGGAACATTGTCACTAACAGATATTCTTTATGGACTTGTTCAGAACATCAAGGGGAAAAAAAAAAAGCAGAAAATGAAAAGTACACAAGTGATGAGTATTCTGCTACTAAAAGTCTACTCTCTTGTATGGTTGACATCATAAAAATGAAAAGTAAAAATGGTCTCCTTTCACATAAGGCCTATATTGGACTAAACATAAGTTGAATCAAACCCTACATATTTATCTTGCTAAAAAATAGAATCTGACTTTCTCAGTCTGTGTCTAGAATTATTAAAAACTGTACTTTCATAACCACCATTTTTTATATCAGCACAGATGTTGGATTTTATAACTTTAACTGGGTGTGAAAGCATGTTATCAACAAAGTTTTCTCTAGGGTGCTCAAACAGTACAGCAGATCTCAGTAGTCCTGCCCTACTTGCTAATATTTTAAGTTTTTCAGTATTGATTTGGATGGTGGAACAGGGAGGCCATCTCAAAGCTGGAAGGTTATGTGCACTTTGGAAGGCTGCATCACAACAGGGAAGTTGTCTGAAGTCAAGTGTTATGAACTTCTCAAAATCACTGGGACAATAACAGACAGGGTAGCTTATTCAGGAAAGACAAGGACCTTCCTTATTGTAGTGTATCACCAGGAAATTATTGAAAGTTTAAAACTTAATTATTGAAAGTTACAGCCTAATAACAGAATGCTTTTTCAGAATTGTGTTGGAATTTACAGGTGAGATTGCCACACAACATTCAAGTCACTTATTTCTATAACAGTGGACATGGGTAAAGCATGTCTGTAGTTATACAACAAGTCTAGTGCCAACTGGAAATGAAGAAAATGCATCTGATGTGGAAAGCTTATAGATCTGGGATTCTTTAATAGGTATTACAGCTAGATTGACTGAGAAAGACTTACTTTCACCATCACACCAGGTTATGCTCACTCCTTTCTCACTGATCTCATCTGTAAATACCTCATTATAAATAACTTCAGCTGAGTACCACTGTGCCAGAACCAAGTGCCTTTCATTTTCAGAATAACACCATCTTCCTTGAGATGACTAAAGGTTATCCAAATCAGAAAAAAATATTCATTTATGCTTAAGGGGAGGGGGTTACATGCTTTCATTTTTACTTAGTAAGACTGGATAATAATGTTAGCCTACAGCATGAAACTCCTTTAAACAGCATAAGACTTCCTTTTCTCTTTTACACATCTCTGTTTTATAGTGTAAGAAAGATTCAGCTTTGCTTTAACTACTCTGCAGATTTCATAATAACAGTAAAAGTTACAAATCTCAGGCAAGATCTGACTTACTTTGGTAGATAATTTTTCTATTATTTTCAAAGAAATACATTACTTGTAGTTAAATAGAATTCTGGAAAAAGATTATAGGTGATGAAAAGTAATTTACAAATTCATTTCACTATGACTTTTGTCTTGTGTCAAAGCATCAGAGTCTCTTTTTCATGTCAGGTTTGAGCCACCAAATAATTACTCTAAGGAAAAGTGTAGGGAAGAGAGATTCAGCTCTCATTGCAAACTACAGTGTGAGAAGCATGCCTGAGGCAAAGCTGGGGACAGTAATATTTGTAGCATATACACAGGCTTTGGACAGGGATGCTTCTGGGATCCTTTAAATTAAACCAAGAATTGTTCTGTTCCCTCGGGTACCCCAGAATAGTGAGGCATCACAAAAGGCATAATTTGAACAACAGCTGCTCAGTCTTTCAGAAGGAAAGTTTACATCTTTCTTTCTTCTTGCACCGTTACACTGAACATACTGAGTTTGTTGTAAATGCCTTATCTGCATCTAGATTTGTGTGTTGGATAGCATGAGACATGCATGCTTCAACAGTGATGGAGGAATGTGTTAGGAGGTGTGGTACAGGCCAAGACACAAGCTGGATCTCTTTTACTGCATTGGGTTACCAGCCAGTGTCAATGACTGGCCCCCACTTCAGGGCCCCCAGCACCTGGTTCATTTATCTTCTGCCACTAATTACTGTATTACATTTTTTCTCATTGTCCCTTTTGAGATACCTGAAGGCACTGTCTCTATGCTCAGTATCATGTACTTGTGGGAAATGTAAAAGAAGTGTGCTAGTGCTTTTAGTCCAAGCTTGCTGTCTCCTCAGGAGGCAGAGACGAGCACTGCAGTTGGCCCACCTCCTCACCTATTGACAGCACAGGGAATGAGTCCTCACCTTGAGCAGTGTGGCTATTGCATCACAGCGTGCTGCTCTCACAGTTGTTATCCTGTACTTAGAAGGGTTGTCTTGAGCATAAGTGCTTCCTTTAAACTCTTCAGAAAAATTGCCAGGGGACATTATTCCCCCCTCTTCATGTGGAAAGAGGATGAAAATTATTCTCTCTTCTCAGACTGCAAAGAGGATGAGAAGAGATTAAAGCTAAACTTTTTCCAGCCTTTTATCTTGCCTGTAAAATATAAGAGATTTGAAAGAACAAAGGTATGGGAACTGCAAGAGTGAGAAACTGAAAGTCTGCTGAGTCCTCTGGTAAAGTAGTTTACCTCAAAGCTTAAGATTTTGTTGCCTTCCTGAGGATTTGCTTATCCTTTAATCATGATCATGTGGTTTGTGAACTTCAGTACTAAAAAAGGATTTTCAGCTATTCAACTATATATGATGTGAACAGATCAATTGAAAATAATTGTATTCTTGTTTTCCAATCAATAAATTTTATAAATAAGATTCACCTTGCAGTTAATCATCAAACACAAAGCCAAAGCATAACCTTCTATTCTGCCCTCAAGGAGCATTACTAAGTCAGTATGTGGAGTCTCTGGTGCTGCAGCTCATTAGAAAATCAATTCAAGCTATCACCATATAAAATCCTGAGCCATAGCTCTTGGGGAAAAAACACAACTCTTCATTAAAACTACATTCATAGCAGCTGACCATCCTTAGTGTGATTGAACCACGAACTGGTAACTTAAGTCATTCCTCTTCTGACAGATCTTGCTGCCTTGTCCCCTCTGTTTTGAGAGAGCACGTATCAACTACTTAGCATGTATTTGTTTCAGCTTTATTTTGTTTGTGCGAGAAAGAACCTTTGGTTCTTTTCTGATGGTAGCATGTGAGACATGGTTTTTGTGTGTAGAAGTTAGTTAACAAGCATCTTCTAACAGCGTACTGACACATGTTAAGCTATACTGCCTTGTAGAATAAATGCTTTATGAATGGTATACCAAAAGAAATAGTACAAAAGAAACTTGAGCCAAAGCTATCACCTGTTCCCGCAGCCTTAGAGCACACGGCCTTGCTGTTGGCAGCTGCCCTCTTGTCTTCTCAGAGCATTTTCAGGACAGATAGATTAATGAGTACCCTCTGTGCAAAAATTTTGGATACATCTGTGTATTTTCCCTTGCCATGAATGAGTTGACCAGTGTACTGCAACAAGTCCCAAGTGAAACAGACAGAAAGGGATCTCTTACCAAAGAATATCTAACATATGATCTTTATAAAGAATTATTTCTCAATTAGATAACTCTTTTGAACAACAAAATGGTATCTAATTTTATAAAGGAATTAGTAAGTTAATTTATTTCTGTCTGCAAGTAGTATTCTCAAAATACAATAAAATAGTTTTGTACATTGAATAGGACAAGATTTTTTTAGATTTCCCTAAAGTACAATGCCAGAGCTGAGAAGAAAATACCTTGCAGAAGAAGCATAGAAGAACTAAGTTTTATAACATACCAGGTCAGCATTTCTTTAGCCAGGGCTTCGTCTTACAGATTCCCAGGAATTTTGTCTTTCAAAATGAAGACATATAAGAACTGTGGAGAACTGTATTTCTAGCAAATGTCTTTGACTGATCAGCCACAAACCTTCTACACAACCACAATTCTTAAGTCACATTAGTGTGTCCTTACGCATGTCACTGAAAATCCACCAAGGTAGCTGAAAACCAAACATGGACCAGCTTTGTTCTGACTGAAGGCTATGCATAAGATAGAATTGCAGCAATTTCATCTGCTTATGTATAAAAAACTTCTTCTGACACAAATTAATCAAAGGAACATTTGCAGATTCTCTATTGAATCTATGACTTCTGAAGTTATTGTCAATGCAGTTAACTGTCTAGATAAGAACCATCATTTTTTTTTCCCAAAGACATTGAAAATATGGTGTAATGTCACGTCTACACTTCTCGTAAGAGTGGCACTCACCTATTGTGGAGTGTCTATGAAGGGCTTCCAGTGCTGGTGGCTCTCAGTGACCTATAACAGAGGCATAGTGCTACTGGGACCTGTGAAGAAAGAATCAAAGAGCTCAGTTGGAAGACAAGAAGATTTATAGAAGCACTATAGAAAAGCAGGAGCAAAGAGGGTATATATATAATACATCATATGTAATATATATATGTTATATATATGTGTGTGTTCATATAGACTTTGGAATTCATTAGTTGGACTTGCTTCCAGAACGGTGTCCACTGACACCAGTGAAACAGATTACAGTGGGAAACTCTCTAAGCAATATCTACATCTAAAAGGTCATCATTTCCCACTCTATAAGAGTGGAAAGGTTTAAGTGCAAATGTTATTTTCTGTTTTGCAGAAAGAAGACTGCAGTGTTCAAGTAAAAAAAATCAGTAGTCTTTCACAAACAATTTTGTTTTTATCATCCTGTCAACTAGTATCCAATAACTCATACACACCTTTTCTGTTTAGTACTTTTTTTTTCCTCTGTCTCCAAATTCCAGGTGGTCCGACCGTACCAGACAATGTCCAATCCTATGAGTAAGTTGACAGTACTCAACAGTATGCATTCACATTTCATTTTGGCTGACAATGGCACTACTGGCAAATATGGAGCAGAGGTGAAACTTCGTAGACAGCTGGAAAAGCACATTTCACTTCAGAAAATAAATACACGTGAGTAACATTTTCTTTATTCTGTTTTATAATTACAATTACATTAAAAAATTACATTAAAAATAATTATAAATAGTAAGTTATGTATATTTCACTATCTACTAGCTAATGTGATGAATGAGCAAGGGATAAGAAAGTAACGATGAACAAAGCTAATACAATTTGATTTTGGAGTAGTGTATGCAAGATTGCAGCACAAAAGTATAAATGAATTTGTTTCTGATAAGTTTCAAACAGTATTTGACAAAGCTCCTCTGATTTGACTCAGATGGTTGGTAACCCATCTCCTCAAAATTGTATGCAATTCTGGTCCCTTCATTTAATAATTACTGAATCATAGAATCATTATGGTTGGAAAAGACCACTGGGGCGATCTAGTAAAGATAGAGAGAAGAGTGACAAAAAGCTTTTTTGTGACAAAATCTTTAAAATTTGGAATGTCTATACATGTACAGATGTATGAAATTCTGTAGTACACAGAAAAGTTGAAGAAGAAATGACTGTACAACTCAAGCAGACCCAGAGTCATCAATATTTAGAGTCAGAGAGTGTTACCTGTAAAGTTGTGAAGTGTTACTCCATGTTTGCACTATATTTACTACTCCTAGACAGCTATCATTGACTACAGCCGGAGACAGAATAAAAGGCCAGGTGATCCTTTGATCTCTTTTTTAAAAATCATTTTGGGATAGAACATTCCATGTCATTACCAGACTGAAGCAGCAGGCTTCTCTCAAAGTTGTATTTTTATTTTCTCACAGAAAATGGCAAAAAAAAAAAAAAAAAAAAAAAAAAAAAACACTTAGGTTAGTGATTAGGTAAAGTAAAATATAATGTCTCCATATTGATATTATTTTTTCTGTAGTGTTACAAAAGCTTAATTTAGATGCGAAGTTTCCTTCTTTTAAGATATTTTTAGTTTTGTTATTATTATTTCCTTCTACTTAGTGTAAATTTAGTGCTAGCAAAAGAGAAAAGGATCAGTTCTGTAAATTGAGGTTAGGACTTACTTAGGGAGAAAATCTTCAGCTGCGCCATTGGCAGGTAGAATTCTTTCTCAGTTTTAGAACTGTGGACTCATTTAGGATGGAAAAGACCTTCAGTCCAGACAAACCTCAGCATTGTACCTGCATAACGTACCTTTAGGAATGAAAACAGAACTCATTTTTCAAAAGCGACAATATACAGTTTTTTGCTCAAAACTCCCCTTTTGAGCTTGTGATGCTCAAAACATGCAATTTGAGGCTAAGAAAGGTGACATTTTTTGTAAAACGAATACTTGAAATTGGAACAAGAGTAGGAAACGCATCTAATTACTCAGGTATCAGAAGATAATGAGTTATAGGCAGGCAGGCACAATATGATGCACAAAAACTAGCATTTCAGCAGGGCTTGATAAAGCTTGCTATGTCATGAATGCCAACTCTGCTTAAACTAAAATAGTGCTCTACTCAGATTTTTCAACACCGCTGTGTGAATTGATTGGAGGCAGCAGTAAATCAAAATGAGAGAAGTCCAGGCTTTTTAGTTCTATGATATCAGTGTAACATTTCTTTTTCTCAATAGTGTGTGAGTATGTTCAAGTGTGTATGTTTTCTAAGTTGTGTCTTTGTGAGTGTTCTTAGCAGGTGGAGACAGTGTGATCTAAGCCTAGGCTAACAGAAGAGTCATACTTGAATATGGCATACATGACGTCAAGCTGTAGGAAAATGTACTGTAAATGGGATGTTTATAAGAAAATTGTCAGCATGTGTTGTTCACAACATAGTGTTTTGTTGTTGAGACAAGCTTCCTATTAAAAAAGTAAATCTCTTCAGAGATTTAACTTAATTCAGACTTGCACGAAACATTTATACACTGAAAAGTGGCTAAACTCCAAATCTTATTAGCACTCTTGACCTCATCCAAAACCTTCAAAAAAGGAAGGCTTTCTCTTCTCTGGCTTCTCTTTGCAGCCCCCCCCCCCCTTTCCCCCTTGGGCCCCATGCCCAAGAGTATGTATCTTCTTCTTCTTTTCCCTTTTCCCATGCGGCAGACTGACTCTAGCATTTAACCTCTTCCTGCCAAATCACTCTCTTGTAAATATAAAAATACTCAGATCTCAACAATTCTTCAAAATCAGGAAAGTGAAAGAACTGCTGACAAGGAGGATTGCAGGTGATATTTGTACAGCATGTCTCTGTGACATCCAGAATTTTTATGTTTTCTGTTATGAATGACATTATAGCTTCAGCAAGCAAAATTACTAGCACTGCAAGGATTAGGAAGTTCTTTGTTTATGCCTCGTTTCACTTTCTTCTCTTTGTAAAGAAGATGATTTAGTGCTGTTTTGCCTCTAGTGAATGGAAAGGTGACCATATGGATGAGAGAAGGACCACCTGTCCTCTTGGGTCAGCCAAACAGATGGTCACTTTTTGATGCCCTTTCTTACCCTTGGTTCTAGCAGAGCAGAAGAGGTTCTTGGTCTTGTGTGTGCACAGTCAGTGCTGCAATGAGATCTTCATCTGAACAGGAGTGTGTCTGCACACATGCCCTTATTTACTGTTTTACAGTGGTAAGCATTAAAATGGAGTTGAGACATCAAACTTTTGTTCTCTAGAGAGCTGGGAAAGTACAGTTATTCCTTAATGATACTAAATAAATAAATAAATAAATGGACTAGAAAAAAAGAACAGATTCTGAAACAAAAAGTTCGTGAATTCTTATTTCACAGCCTGTCCTTGGACAATGGTGCTAAAAGCAGATTTTTTTTTCTTATTTTTCTTATTTTTAAGCCTGCCTGACTTTTACATGCTAGGCTTGTCACTTCTTATTTCCCTTCCTGTGCTTCAACTGTGCCATTTTTCAATTCAATTATAGTTCCTCTAGATGTTTGGGATTATGCGTTATTAGTGAAGAGAAAATTCAAGTTTACTACTCACCTATGAAAGACATGAAAAACTGTATTCCTCTGAAATAGATTAAGAAAGTAGCAATCTCCCTTCTTATAAAAACTGAGTTTAAATCAGGCTAGTAAATATGCCACATAATTCTAAAAAGACTGTTTTTAATATGGCATCACTTGCAGTCATTCAGCAGCATCTAATTTACTGAATGAATGTCACTGTTAAATAATAATAACAATAATAACAACTTGGCTCATATCCCTGTGAATTTATGACCACTAGAGAAAAAGAAAGATTATTTATTATTTGTTATTATTTATTGAAATCTCTCTTTTCCCTCTACCTATTCAACTTATACCTACCACTTCTATAGCTCTGATTCTGCCCCCAAAAACTATTCACACAAAAATAAAAAATGCTTCCCAGATAAGCAGAGAGTGCATTTGCAGGTTAGTCTAAGTTTGCAGCTCCAGTAGAGTAACCCAGCTGTTATTTAGCTAGAGGTCACTTTGACAATTCAGTGTTTAGAGAAGGTCTTTATTTTCACAAGTGAAGAGAACCTTAACACAACCCAGCAACTGTTGCTTACAGTGAGCCACCATTTCTCTCGAAGCATGAAGTTTCGAAGTGAATCATTGTGCAATAAGAAATGATAAATGTAAGATGAACTTCTCAAAAACTGTTTCATGTTCAAAAGTAAATACTGAAACTGATCTGAACAGAAATGTTTCTCATATTCATTTCACACAAGTGTTTGAGTCCTGGACTTCTAGCTGGAATTTGAAGGTAGGAAGGTCTTAAAATGTACTCTGCAAAGAAGGAAAAATATCTTTGTGATGATCTCAGCCATATAGTTTATTTGTACAATATTACATGGATAATTTGACGGCTCTGTAAAAATTTTTACACAAAAACATGAAATTAAAACACATTCTCACTCCTGGCTCGAAAATATTGCAAAAACTTTGTGATGAAAGTGAAGAAATTTTAAGCATGATAACATGTCTCCACTCAAAATATATGTTTTTCAAGATTTATTTAGTGAATGGCAGCTGTACTCCAGCTACAATGCTTTGCTTATACTGCAGTGCTCAGAAACTCATCCGTAACTTTGTCAAGCTGAGACTGAAAACTTCCAACAGTGAGTACTCAACCACCTATCTGAGCTTCTGCAAAAAGTGTGGGGACCTTCCCCATCCTCCCTGATGTCAAGAGCTTCCAAACAGCTATTTATGGCCATTTTATCTTATTTTGCTGGGACTAAGAAAGAGTCTGACTCTAACACCTTTGTAATGCCCTTTAGATTTGTGTAAACAGATACAGGATTACTCTTTTTCAAAACTGTATATAAATTTAGCCTTACTGATTATTTTTAATAGGCCTTAGTCCTCAAAAGGTTTTCTGCCATGGTACTGTACTGCTCATATTTAATTATTACTCTTCTAAAATTATTTTGCATCCCTCAAGCTCCTACATTATTTCTTCATAAAAATCATTCTAAAACTTAAATTTCAACACCAACTTCTGTTCAGAATAAATAGGGTTCTATGTTTCCTCTAAAATATTGGGTGTCTTTTTACTTCTTTAGAATCCTACATATGATTCATTTCCTTCTGCCTTTGAGGGCTCGAAAGTATTCTGGTAATAGGCCTGAGCTGAAGGCTTTACCCTTTTTCAGGCAAAAAGTCACTGTAGTAGATTGACGTGCAATTAATTTTACCCATTTTGTGAATATATTAAGTAACACTTTCTTATTATCAAAGATAAAAATAATTCATATTACACACAAAGATTACATACTAATGCTTACAGAATTTCTCTTCAAACTTCCTACCTCAAATTTCACCTTTTTTAGTCTGAACTAAGGTTTCCAGATGCACAATACACCATTCATTACTGCTGTTTACATTAAGAGCTTTGTACGGGTTAGTTTCTACTGAATCATTTAACTGAATTATGTACAGTTAAACTGTAGTTTAACTGAGTTATTACTACTAACTGAAATACCTTTAAAGCTTTAAATCTTTAAAGAGCTTTCTGCCTTGTTGCCAAAGCATTTCTATCATGAATGCATAGCTTCCCTTCATATAAGTGTACTTCTTGGAGGAGTGGAGA